ACCAAAAGGTGTTTGTTCATTGTATCAGCATATGCACCGACCAATTGCAGGTATGATACCCAAAAGGACGCCTTCTACGATGAACTCACTTATCTCATTTGGATGAGTCGAAGGTCCAACATAGTTGTACTTGCAGGTGACTTCAACGCGCAGGTTGAAAAACTGGCTGCATCAGAAGCTTGCCTAGGCGGTAGTTGTGCTCTGCCCAGCCAACGAACAGATAACGGCGATCGACTTCTTCAGTTCCGTGCAGACCATCATCTATTCCTATCCAGTACCAACTTCCGGCACAGCTCTCGACGGACGGCAACGTGGTGCTCCAGTTCAACTGGTACGCTAACTCAAATCGACCACATAGCAGTAAGCTACCGCTGGCGTGGCTCAGTGCGGAATTGCAGATCCTATTGGACCACCTGTGTTGAGTCTGACCACGCATTAGTTTTGATGCAGTTCATTCTCGGACTGACTGGTCGGCGACAAAACCAGCAAACTCGGATAGGTCATCATTGACTATCTGTTCCAGTAGTACGCAGTACACTCTATGAGTCAGAGCTAGTGCGTGAGCTAAGCGCGCCTCCGCGTGGTGATGTAGATGAGCAGTGGGATCAGATTAGGAGAGCAAAGCATTGTGCAGCGAAGTTCGGTCTTGCATTCAACCTCTGAAGCGAGGAAAGGCAGCAGGACCGAATGAGCTCTCTCCCACTCTTTCCAAGAAGGGGGATGATAACCTCGTAAGCTCTATTACTACCCTACTGGGCAACATTTGGACGCAAGAATACATTCCTTCATCTTGGGGCGAGTCACTGATTGCTTCCATTCTCAAGAAAGGATCGCGCAACGATTGCGAAAACTACCGCGGAATCAGTTTGATCCCGATCGTCACCAAAGTGCCAAATTGAAAGGTCGTGTATATTGTGCTACCGTTCGTTTGACCCCGTCTAAAGAGCGTATGATCCGATGAACTGGACACCGGCTCTCAATGGATTACGGTTTTCATACCACCCCGCTGCCTCGTAAGTCAGGCTTTGGCTAGCCGAAGGCTCCAGTTGTGGATTCTTCAAGAAAACTCAACTGTCTTGGCCTGGGCAACCTGGAAGTATTCGGCCTACGTGCATATCACTCCCGTTGGCCAAACTATTTGGCTTGCACCCGGTGAAAACAAACTAGTCCTCTCGATGAAATTAGAGTTATCACCCAGAGCCATCGGTAGTGGATCATTGTGATACGGACAGTTAGCTTCAAGATTACAGGATCGCCCTTGAAACATGACTCGAGGTTCTCGGAGGCGAGATCCCATAGTGTCTGCCACCGCTACTACCCACTTCTAACGATACCTGTATGTCAAATTCATCCGGAAGCAACAAGCAATTACATATTGAGCGCAAGATTACGGGAGAGAAAAATTCACCAGCCCCAAATGAACGGCTGCCGTAAATGTGGTGGGTTTCGCCTTCCAAAACAGTACCAATCTTGTATTGTTTGTTTGTCGGGTGTGATGAAATTTGTCGTATTGAAAGTTTTCTTAGGTAGGTGGGGGGGGGGTAGGAGAACCGATATACCAGAATCAACCTGACTATCCAGAGCAAGCATAATGGACATCCAATCTCGGTGCATCAATTTGCACTTTGAAGGAGCCAAGCACATAGCGAAAAGAGTGACAAATTACTAATCTGTCAAGGGATCTCAGAATAAACGATTGTCTGACTGATTTATTTCGGCGGACCTAGAGAGAGGGCAGATGTTACGTGCATTTGGTAGAATGATCAGAGAAACACTAAATGCATCATAGAAAGCGGACAATGAAAACAAAATAGCACTAGGACTCACGTAACAAGAGCATTCGGTTATCGGAAACCGTGAAACGATCCGGAACTGCTTTATTCATCAGAACTGGATATGGACAACCTGGAACAGAGATAGATTCCGATGGAGTTAGTAAGCGGGGTTTGACAGTTTATAACCGATCACTATCACGCTGTGCACTTCATTTGGAATTGTAAAATTAATCAACAGTGCTGCCGATATCACCATTAGCGAACCAATCGGTTATTATTAGTAGATGACGATACACCGAACCGGCCCACGGGAGAATGAATAATCGCTGACCAGAACTTTTGCGTGATAAAACTAGGCCTGAGTCAAGGTGCGGAGCTACACGGAAACATATGTATCGACCGGGTAGTCCAGCAAAAACAAAGCACATGCGTTAAAAATGAAACAATTGGATTGGCTATGACCTCCCTCGCTTTCTCCAATCAAAACCACTGACGTCCTCGAAGCATTGCTCGATTTTGGTGGGAACCTTGGGTGACCAATGGCCGGATTGATTTTCATGCTTTGATAGTCACTCGGTAAAAGAAGCAATCGCGCTACACCGCCTCTGATGGTCCGGTCACATTTTGTGTGTGCCTGCCTATCATCTACCTTTGCACTAGCTGGGCAAGACTGGAAGAAACATCCCGGCGGTCAACGCATGATATGGCGCAGGGGGATGAAGAAGTTAGCTTGAGTATTGGCTTCGATTGGTTCAGCCCTCAATCCGGGATGGGAACCAAGGCTTGAGGATATCCAATAGGACAGAGGGATGCTTCAGAATAGAAGTTGGCGGAGTGAATGGTTTGTCTGTTAAAATTCTGTGACCCATACAAATTGCAATCAAACACACGAAAAAACACGGTGGAGTAAACAAGAGAAGTTGCTACCCTTGTTCTGTTTTCACGTAATAACTTGTTTAACACGCCATTCTTTTCTCCACCCCAATCCCCCTTTTCCCCTGTTATTGTTTTTGCGCTGGTACTATGCTTGTTCTCAAACCGGTGATAAATAACTAATATAAGAACCTTTAAGCACGTCCAGAATTTTGATCTGTTATCGTTAAGGAAACTACCAAAGCAATCAGCGTTCGAATTTTGAGGACAGCTTCTGTAGACAAACTTTGCTCGCTTGACAATCTTCGAAAATATTTACCCACATATGGGCTAAAATCTACCAAGCAGTTTCTCATCAACTCAGTTAAGTACTCACTTCCAAAGTAAGATGACAGACAGAGCGAAGCATTAGCGAATTTAAGATCTACAACATGAGAATTCATAAGATGAACTAACTCGCACAAAGTGCATCACTCTAAACGCCCAGATACTTAATAACAAAGTTGGAATACTCGGTAAAAGATAGATCAGCTGTCAGGGCAAGCAATTTTTCCCTGAAAAATTTCTGTTACATCGATGCAATATGGAACTGGGTCAGTTGTTGGAAGTTGCCAGGGTCTTGGTAATGTTAGTGGAATGGTAGAATTCAAGGTAACGAACAAAATGCTGTGATATGATTGCTTTATACCTTTTGCTGGTGCCCGTCAGTTTTCCATTCTGTAAAATCAAAACCGTGTGCAACGATACGGAACTGTCGCTTTTCACAAACTCTAGCAGTGTTGCGATTGTCCTCTGAATGGTAATTATTGAGGAAAACCTTTTGGACATGATTAAGTGATAGATTTGCAATTACACAAGTACTCCATTTAACTTATACATCTACACATAGTCCTGTACAACCACCTCAAAAAGGAAGCCTTATCCATCATTTTTTTGTTGCGGACACCCCCCCCCCCAAAAAAAAAGAGAACGGAACGACAATATCCAGGGCTATAACCGGGTTGGTAAACCAGTGGCAGTTCACTTAGGGGATTTCTCTAAAAGCTCTGATCTAAACTAACACCCACCCACACTTTTTCGGTTGTGACAATGGTCATCGGCCCGACTAGTTATCGAGGTGTATTGGCATCTTGGACGTTTGACCCCATCCAGAGGGTGAATGATCCGATGAACTGGACACCGGCCCCCAACGGACTGTGGTTTTCACATACCACCCCGCAGTCTTGCGGGTCAGGCTTCGGTTAGTCCAAAGCCCCGGTTGTGAACATCCAATAAAATTCAACTGACTTCGCTTGGGCAACTTGGCAGTTTTTCTTTTTATTACACCAGTGTGATAAATAGCAGACGCGACGGACCCCATGGTCAGGAAAGCCTGCTGTTTTGGTAACGGTTACTGGCACCCTAAGCCCCGGAATTTGGAGTGGCGAATCACATAAGGCCCCGTTAGGTCAGGCGTGGTGTGGAACTGTGCGATAGCAAAGCTGCCTACCACCAAAGGTGGATGGTGGTGGCGGGACTCGAACCCCGAACCAAGAGGTCTAAACTACGCTGGTGGCAGGGACTAAACCACTGCGCCACCGCCAGAAAATCATTGAACTTTTTCATTCTTATAAAGTTTATTGCACCGTGGTCTGTTTTGCACGTGAGCTGGGCTCAGATATGCGTGAAAATATGATATATAACTAAAATACGAATAACCGCAAACGTTCACTTCTTGACTCGAATTCAGTGGTTTTTTTATTATACAATGAATGACCATGAGACAGAACTTACCGTATTTATCCAAAAACTGGGTAACTTCATCATATAACTTTTGTTCTTTAGCTGCGTCTAAACTCAGGAATAAATGATAAGAGGACATTGAAATTGGTATACCATCAATTTTCTGAATGGGGTGGATTTCCTCATGGTCTGCAGCCAACTGAGTGGTAGTCACCGAGAGCGCATTGGAAAAATGAATTACGTCCTCAGTAGTTTGCTTCCAATTCAGATCCAATCTGGACAGAACATACAATGGAATCCAGAGCATGGACCTACTTTAGCAGACCATAACATTTGGCAAGGTCATTCTTGTACTTTGGAGCCATTGGTAATAAGGAATGTTCCACGTAAAAAATCTATAAAAGGGACCTAAAACAGGAAAATGCCAATGCGATGAAAATATTAGTCAGAGTTCAAAATACATGCCTAAATCTAACGTCTGCACGAGTGGGAGAGAAGTACGCCACAACATGTGTATCGCTTGATACGTTTATCCACCAATCAGTGCCAAAATAACGCAATAAAAGACAACGACTGTAGATTACAACAAATGGTGAGTGGGCTCCTAGGCAATCATCATTAACGATAAA